CACCAGCTTTTTTCTCCCTGTTGTTTGCATGAAGTATCTTTTTCCATCCCTTGACTTTCAGTCTGTGCATGTCTTTGGGTTTGAGGTGAGTCTCTTGTAAGCAGCATATAGATGGGTCTTGCTTTTTTATCCATTCTATTACTCTGTGTCTTTTGATTCGTGCATTTAGTCCATTTACATTTAGGGTGATTATTTAAGTATATGTTCTTATTGCCATTGCAGGCTTAAGATTCGTGGTTACCAAAGGTTAGCTTCTTTTCTATCTTACTGTCTAACGTAACTCGCTTATTGAGCTATTATAAACACTGTCTGATGATTCTTCATTTCTCTCCCTTCTTATTCCTCCTCCTCCATTCTTTATATGTTGAGTGTTTTATTCTGTGCTCTATTGTGTTTCCTTTGCCTGCTTTTGTGGGTATTTGATTTTATTTTTTGCCTTTAGTTAGTATTTGGTTGATGTGCTTTCTTTGCTGTGATTTATTTTCTCTGGTGACATCTGTTTAGCCTTAGGAGTGCTCCCATGTAGGGCAGTCCCTCTAAAAGACCCTGTAGAGGTGGTTTGTGAGAGGGAAATTCCCTCAACTTTTGCTTGTCTGGAAATTGTTTATTCCCTCCTTCATATTTAAATGATAATCATTCTGGATACAGTATCCTTTGTAAGGCCCGTTTGTTTCATTGCCTTAAATATATCATGCCATTCTCTTCTGGCCTGTAAGGTTTCTGTTGAGAAGTCTGATGATAGCCTGATGGGTTTTCCTTTGTAGGTGACCTTTTTCCTCTCTCTAGTTGCCTTTAAAACTCTGTCCTTGTCCTTGATTTTCACCATTTTATTATGTGTCTTGGTGTTGTGCTCCTTGGGTCCCTTCTATTGGGAGTTCTGTTTGCTTCCGTGGTCAGAGCGACTATTTCCTCCCCCAGTTTGGGGAAGTTTTCAGCAATTATTTCTTCAAATACATTTTCTATCCCTTTTTCTCTCTCTTCTTCTTCTGGTGCCCCTGTAATGCAGATATTGTTCCTTTTCAATTGGTCACACAGTTCTCTTAATATTGTTTCATTCCTGGAGATCCTTTTATCTCTCTTTCTATCAGCTTCTCTGCATTCCTGTTCTCTGGTTTCTATTCCATTAACAGCCTCTTCTACTTCGTCCAGTCTGCTTTTAAGTCCTTCCAGAGATTGTTTTATTTCTGTAGTCTTACTCCCTACTTTGTGTTAGCTCCTGCATTTTTCTCTGCAGCTCCATCAGCATGGCGATGACCTTTATTTTGAATTCTTTTTCAGGATGATTGGTTACGTCTTTCTCGCGAAGCTCCTTCTCAGGGTTTGTCTGTTAGTCTAGTCTGGATCAAATTCTTCTGCCTTTTCATGGTGATAGAGGTAGTTGTGGGGAGTTGGTACGTGTGTCAGCTGGGAGAATGTCCCTTCTTGCTAGTTTGTGGCCTTCCTCTCCTGTGAGAATGGCATCCCCTAGCAGCTTGTGTTAGGCAGCTGCGTGCCGACGGGGGTCTCTGATTCTTGCCCAGGCTGCTGTGAAGGAAGCTCTGTGCGGCTGCTGTGGGTGTGGCCACTCTCAGGTTGGTGCTCTGGTATGGCGGGGCCACGCCGGAGGGGGAATGGATGGGAGGCTGTTTATTGCCATGAGGGGCCTCCAAGCCGCACTGCTGCCCAGGGGGTTAGGGCGCCCAGAGTCCCTGGGCTTCCTAGCTGCTGGGCTGAGTTTCCTGGGATGCTTCCGTCTAGCTGTGAGGCCCCTGTCCCTTTAAGACTTTCAAAGAGCACTCACTTTTCTTTTGTCGCAGGGGCACCAGCTGTGGGGACCCACTCGCAGATTTTACTGTCTCATTTCCCTAGTATCCAGCACACCATGCACTGTGTGTCTGTGCTCCTGGTGTGGATGGCTAGGGCTGGGTGTTTAGCAGTCCTGGGCTTCCTCTCCCTCCCCACTCAGCCCCGTTCCTCCTGCCAAGGAGCTGGGGTGAGAGGTGCTCAGGTCCTGCTGGGCTGTGGCTTGTATCTTACCCCCTTTGCGAGGCGCTTGGTTCTCGCAGGTGTAGATGTAGCCTGGCTGTTTTCCTGTATCTTCTGATCTCTCTTTTAGGAATAGTTGTATTTGTTGTACTTCCAAAAATATATATGGTTTTGGGAGGAGATTTCTGCTGCTCTACTCATGCCGCCATCTTTGCTCCTCCCCCAGCTTTGTGTATTTTTAAAAAGTCATTATTGAAACAGCCTCATATGTTTATTTGTTCAGTCATTCATTCAGCACATCTTTATTGAGCATGTATTGCATATCAGACATAAATGCTGAGCATATACCTCTGATCAAAAGCAGATGAGAACCTCTGCCTTCGGGGAGGTTATGCTTTGTTGTGGCCATACGTTCCACTGATGTCTTTGCAGCAATGATGATGACCTTGTTTTTTCACAATGTTCCATATAGGACAGTATCAAGTGAGATGCTCCTTTCCAACCATAAAGCCCTGTTTTGCTAATGGGTACCTATTAGCTTTCATCCTTAACTTGGAAAATGATATTGCTCTGTATGTTTTTACATTTGTTTTGGTATAACTTTTCTTGGAAAGAAGAGTTACCAGTCTGTTTTTGAAATTTAGCAGCCATTTATTAACACTGGTAATTGCATGATTTGGCATTTGTGTTTAATGATTTTTTAGTGGTGTTCATAGGCATACCCTTTTCTCCTCTTTTTTAAGGTCTACCAGAGTAGAGCTGGTTAGATGTGCTGTGCTACAGGTGTGTTTATTTTATCATGAGGGAACATAGGATGGTTTTATGGAACATATCAATGGTCTTTGGTATAACCTACAGGAGAATAAATAACTCTAAGGAAAATATTTCAAATATTTGTACCTGTGAATAACGGTGCTTTCTTTCTGACCCATCCACGAATTATACCAAACTTTAAAAAGAATTGGAAGTAGATGCTGTTTTGTCATTTAAGATTTCTATAAGCATCTAGTAGGAGAGAGGTTAATCCCAAGCCCTAAACTTTTGAATCTACTTGAAAAAAAGTATTCAGGAGTAAAAATTTATGCGCTTACATGGAATTATAACCTTTAAATACCATTGCCTGTAAATTATTTTCTCATAGGATGAGTACATTCTTTGTGGTTATCAAGCAATACTTACAGGTTTACTTTGTGTGATTTATATTTTTAAAGTCTTTTTTGCTTTTGTCCTGCTGAAAACTTGCTGAGCAGCAGTGACATGAGATGACATGGGGACATTCAGTATTAATTCAAATGGTCAGCAGGCTTGAAGTAACTACCAGCTTAGATGTTTAGGCATTTTCATTCACCTTAGCTTCTTAGCTATGAAAATCCTAATGGACAAATAAAAATCTTACTTTAGGAAATATATGAAATAGGGGATAGAGTAGGGGTGTCATGGTGGTTGGAAGAAAAGTTTACCCTAACCCATTATCATCTGATGCTTGGTACATAAATACTTTAGAGAATTTCTATAGAATGGAGAAGGATTTAAGAAAAATATCTATTAAGTGATAAAGTCTTAGCCTGAAGAAAAATAAGTCATGAACTGATTGTGGACATGCGATGTGATTATGTATCCTTTAGCAGAAATGGTATGACATAGTTTCTTGAATAAATTCCTATTATTCCCTTCAGAAGAGTACAAACAGGCCTTTGTTCTGGGCACAGAGAGCAGCAGGGCATAACTGATTGGGTATTGCCAAGACCGGAAGCCATCAGTGTTGAAAGTGTCAGAGAGAGAGAAGAGATGTCTGAGGCCCGAGCGGGTAGAGAATCAAAAGGTCTGGTGTTAGTGGATATGGAAGCTTTAAGATGTCATAGATCAGAGCCTGCTGTGGATCTGAGATGGGCTTGAGAAGATTATGGGTCTCCAGGAAAAGGATGGCAGTAGCAGTACCTTTGTGACCCACATTGGGAACTTAGACCTTGGTTGTAGAACTTGTCAGGCTACTGAGGAGTACAGGGGACAGTAGTCAGGGCAAGCAGCAGGTGTTAAAGGGATTTAATATCAGCATGGCTGTGGGTCAGTGTGGTATCAGTGCATTGATCAGGCATTAAAATGAAGACTGGGCCTGGGTCAGAGAAGATACAGGCAGTAGCGTTTTCTGCTCTGAATGGTTCTATGGGAGAGAAGTTGACCTAAAGTTCTAGGATGACTGTGGGCACTGGACAGCACTGAGCCTTAAACAAACCTCTAAAGTAATGATTTCTGAATCCCAGTATTTGGCACTTTACCAAATAAAGCATTACACCATTCCGAATAATGCCAAGGTCAAGATGAAGGACATGGACAAAGTCTAAAAGCTAACAATATAGTTAATATTCAGCATACACTGTATCAGGCATTTTGAATGTATAGTTTCATTTAGTCCCCCCAGAAATGCATTTAGGGAGATAGAGGTTGGCTTGCAGAGATTCTGCGTGAGCAGTAAGGTAATAGGAAGGACCCGGTCCAACATGTTGGGATTGGGATCGTAGTATTTCCTCAGTGTTGATAGGTCTGGGTCCTGACGTGTGTTGCCAGCCCTCCTCATTGTCTTACTGCCCATGACCATTTGCTCTTACTGGCGTGGTTAACACATGCTGCTGGTCATGTGCATCTGTTATGACTTATGTTCCCAATGCCCTTCCAGGGCGTCTTCCCAGGTCACTTTCACTCTGGCTTGTTCCTTTTATGGTTTTCTATAGTTTTTACTTATTGTCTACTCACATGTCATCAGTTGATAATATTCTTTCTTCCTTTTTATACTTGTTTTTAAATTGTTTAATATGTGTTAATTTTGCCTCATCACCAAGCATCTTGAAGTCTATGTTGCTTTTGTATCTTTCCCAGAGCCAGTATCATTGTAAATCATCCAATAAATTCATATAATATATTCTATACCATCCTTTCTGTCTTGATTGTAATCACATTGTAATCAACTATGAATGAGTTTCTTTTTTAGTATATTTAATAATGTGTGAAATGTCACTTTTTTTCAAAAATTTTCACAGGGCAGACTCAGAAAATGAATCTTTTCCAGGCAGTAACGAGTGCATTGGATAACTCATTGGCCAAAGACCCTACTGCAGGTAAACTTCCTTTGTGCTTCACTGTGTGGCTGTGCAAATTCAGAATTAAAGATTTGCTGTAAATACGTATCTGGAGCTCAGTGGTTAACATTACATCTACCTGAAGTTTTTTAAAGACCTGATCAAATGCTTAAGGTTAAATAATCAAATTATTATATTAATACATTTTTTATCCACAAATTATGAATTTGTTCTCATGTTTAATATCAAGTTAACTTTCTCCCATATTATGTTTGCTCCTGATATGATATTAATACCTTTTGGATTAATATTTTCCTGTGTACTCTTGTTTCTCTAAAATATAGGAAAAAAGTACTGGTTTGTTCAGATATGCATTTGTAAAATAAAGATTTGATTAGTGCTTTCCTTTGAGATACATTGTCATTCAACTTGTATGACTTTTTGTAAATAATTTAAATATTTATAAATGACTTTATAAGTAACTTAATCTGAACAATTTAAATTATTGACATATGAACAGTTGTCCTGCTGTATATTTTATGAATTTGGTTGGCTTTACTTCATATATATTTATATTTTGTATACCTTGGGATTCCATTTGAGAATCCCTAGGTTTAAGTCAAGTAAAAAGCAGATTATTTTTTAAGAGGAAGTGGGAGCTAGACTAGTGGATGATTAGACCTTGCTTTGTTTTGAATGCTAACTGAAAATGATTGATTCAGATGAGTAAATAAGGCTGAGTTATTTTTTTTTGAGATATACAGAGGTACATTACTGGGACTAGAATTCAGCTCTGTGAATACCCATTGTGTTTTTTTTTCTTTGCCTTACTATGAAGCTTCTCTGAATTTCCACCTGCACTATTCTTTGCTTTGCTCCCTATGTTCCGCAATGCTTGCCTCCTTTCTTTTTCACACAATCTGAGTCACTTCCCCATTTGTGACTGTTCTTTCAGCTCGGAAAACCACGGGCCCCAGAGCCCGGAGTGTGAGTCGTGGTTCTGCCTGTTGCTTTCTGACTTGTCAAGTCACTTTAGTACTTCTCTGGCTTCATTTTCTTCATGGATAAAACAAGATGATGCTCTAGATCTGTGGTTCTTTCTTGACAGAGGTGATTTTAATCCCTTTCCCTCTCCTTACATTTAAAATGTCTGGAGACACTTTTGGCTGCTGTGGCTGTGTGTGTGGAGCAACTCTCATCCACTGGGCAGAGACCAGGGATGTGGCTATGCATCTGCAATGCACAGGACAGGCTGCTGCAGCAAAATGTCAGTAATGTCAAAATTGAGAAACCTAGATTTAGACCTACATTTATTTCTATTTTCTGATTTAAAATGCAAATATTAAAGTACTTATTTCTTGTTGTTGGTATCATGTAGGATTAAATAAAATGTCTTCCTTTAACATTGATTTTCAGTAATATTTGGTGAAGATGTTGCCTTTGGTGGAGTCTTTAGATGTACTGTTGGCTTGCGAGACAAGTATGGTAAGTTAGTATCTTCATATGAACAGTATTCCTATAGAACTTTTACTTAATGTTATCTAAAAAATGCAAAATATGCCTGCTAAATTGTCTGCCATATCCTTATTGTATGGATGGGTTCCTTTTCATTTCCATAGCCATCCCAAGAATCCTTCAACATAGATATCTACAAATGTGTTCTAGCTGTAATGTCCCTCTGATCTAGTTCATATTTATACACATAGATTCTGAAATACATTATTTACCATCTCATTCATATGTCCAGGAATCTTTGATATCTTATTGCTGCCTACATTAGTCAGTTTCATTTCTAGTGCCTCTAGTTCAAGATTCTGCCCGGTTGGTCTCCATTAATAGATTACATCTTTTATTACCTGCATTAGTCAGGGTTCTCCAAAGAAATAGAAGCATTAGGATATATCTGTATATCTCTATGTCTATTTTTGTGTATGTATATATATGTATTATTTATATGTATCTATATATTTGTGTGTGTGCATATCTCTATATCTGTATATATCTGTATCTATGCATGTATCTATGTGTATGTCTATATGAAAGAAAGAGAGAGAGATTTATTTTTTAAGGAGTTGGCTCACACAGTCATGGGGACTGGCAGGTCAGAAATCTAGAGGGCAAGCCAACAGGCTGGAGACCCAGGAATAGGGTCTTGCCTGAAAGTTTCAGCCTGGGGCAAGGTCACTGTGGATTCAGTGAGTCCTAGAAATGACAGTGGAACATTCTTGGGGTAAAAGGATTTACACCCGGCTTTATTGTACTGGTATAGGTTGAACACTAGGATCACGTCTGCATCCACTAGCCTGCAGGTCTGTAATTCTCCTCTATCTGCCTCCTCCCAGAGCACTGGGCGGAGCTCTTTGGATAGTGATGCAGTCAATACTAGTTTATTGCCTATGGGCGTGGAAGCATTAGCCCAGCAGTGGGCCAATTACATCAACAAGTAGTTTTGGGTCAGGTGAGGATCCTGAGCATAGGAACTTCCAATTTCCCCACAGAGGGTTTCTACATTGCAGTCTTCCAACTGAATTTCTTCTTGCTTGGGAAACTTGTTTCTTCTAAGGTCTTCCAGGGATTGGATAAGGGCTACTCACATTATGAAGGGCAATTTCCTTTACTTATAAGTCTACTGATTGAAATACTGTTATGGGTGACTTTGAGGTGCTTTTGACCTTTTATTTCTTCTCTCAGTCTTATCTAACCTGGAAGTCCACAAAGCAGTTAAGTTTACGGTCAGGAGTTGATACCTGCTTTTCTTCTTACCTTTACCAATGCCCTGTAAAGCTCATGTTTGTGTGCACAGTAAGTAGAGATTGTCTTTTATATATATATTTTTCTAATTGTTGCTCCTTCTTGTCTCACTTCTCTCTGAGGCTATGTTATACTAGAGTTCAAGAAACCATAGCATGTTGCATCTCACAGTAACTTTCAGATAGTTGTTTTTTCTTCCCTTACTGCAGGTTGATTTTCTGGGTCCTGTGCCTCTGCTTTTTCACAGTTGCCTATTTCTAACAGTTTAGAACTTGAGATAGTTTGTTCAGTATCACCTGTCTCAAACTGTCAGTTTCAGCTATTCAGACTCCTGTGAACTTCAGATCTTTAAAAAAATTGAAAACCTTTTTATACATTTGATTTCAAAAGTAATTGTGGATAAAATGAAAGTCCCTGTGGCCAGCATTCTCATCTGGCCCTGGTCAGCTAGCTCACTACACATGTTTGGGCAGTATGTTGCTATTAACTCTATAAAGAGCTCCACCCAGTGCTCTTGGTGTCATGGTGGCCTGGCTGCATGGCTGCCAGGCTGCAGGAGAGCAGAGACTGGAGTGGTGGCAGCACTGAGGAAAGAGACTGAGACAGCTCTGTGGGCTGAGATGCCCAGAGAGAGACTGGCTTGCTGCATGCAGACTCACTCTGAGTGGATGGGATCCTAGTAATTGACCTGCCACCATGGGAATAAAGTTGGATATAAACCCTTTCACCCAAAGAATGTTCCATTTTCATTCCTTGGTCTCATTGAATCCGTAGTGAACTTGCCCGGGGCTGAACCCCATTGGCAAGACAGTAATGCATATGCATTGTAGAACATTTGGAAATACACATAAAGGAGAAAATAAAAATTTCCCATCCTTCCAGAGATAACCTAGAGAAAATCACTGTACATTTCTTGATGTATACACTTCTAGACTGCATTTGGATGTGTTCATATATATTAACAATTTTTAAATTACTATTTTATTATTTTTTAATTTTGTTATCATTAATGTATAATTACATGAACATTATGGTTACTAGACCCCCCCTATTATCAAGTCCTGACCACATACCCCACTACAGTCACTGTCCATCAGCGTAGTAAGATGCTGTAGAATCACTACTTGTTTCTTCTGTGTTATACTGCCTTCCCTGTGTCCGCCCCCTACATTATATGTGCTAATCATAACTCCCATTTTCCCCCCTTATTCCTCCCTTCCCACCCATCCTCTGCAGTCCCTTTCCCTTTGGTAACTGTTAGTTCATTCTTGGTTTCTGTGAGTCTGCTGCTGTTTTGTTCCCTTCAGTTTTTTCTTTGTTCTTGTACTCCACATATGAATGAAATCATTTGATAGTTGTCTTTTTTCCACCTGGCTTATCTCACTGAGCGTAATACCCTCTAGCTTCATCCATGTTGCTGCAAATGGTAGGATTTGTTTTCTTCTTATGGCTGAATAATATTCCATTGTGTATATGTACCATATCTTCTTTATCCATTCATCTACTGATGGACATTTGAGTTGCTTCCATATCTTGGCTATTGTAAATAGTGCTGCGATAAACACAGGGGTGCATCTGTCATTTTCAAACTGGGCTGCTGCATTTTTAGGGTAAATTCCTAGGAGTGGAATTCCTGGTTCAAATGGAGTTTCTGAGGATCCTCCATACTGCTTTCCACAGTGGTTGAACTAATTTACATTCCCACCAGCAGTGTAGGAGGGTTCCCCTTTCTCCGCAACCTCGCCAACATTTGTTGTTTTTGTCTTTTGGGTGGTGGCCATCTTAACTGGTGTGAGGTGATATCTCATTATGGTTTTAATTTCTCTGATGATTAGTGATGTGGAGCATCTTTTCATGTGTCTGTTGGCCATCTGAATTTCTTCTTTGGAGAACTGTCTGTTCAGATCCTCTGCCCACTTTTTAATTGGATTATTTGCTTTTTGTTTGTTGAGGTGTGTGAGCTCTTTGTATATTTTGGATGTTAATCCTTTATCAGATCTGTCATTTATGAATATATTCTCCCATACTGTAGGATGCCTTTTTGTTCTATTGATGGTGTCCTTTGCTGTACAGAAGCTTTTCAGCTTGATATAGTCCCACTTGTTCATTTTTCATTTTTGCTTTTGTTTCCCTTTCCCAGGGAGGTATGTTCATGAAGAAGTTGCTCATGTTAATGTCCAAGAGATTTTTGCCTATATTTTTTCTAAGAGTTTTCTGGTTTCATGACTCATGGTCTTTGATCCATTTCAAAGTTACTTTTGTGTATGGGTTTAGACAGTGATCCAGTTTCATTCTCTTACATATAGCTGTCCGGTTTTGACAACACCAGCTGTTGAAGAGGCTGTGATTTTCCCAATGTATGTCATTGGCTCCTTTATTGTATATTAATTAACCATATATGTTTGGGATAATATCTGGACTATTCTGTTCCACTGGTCTGAGGGTCTGTTGTGCCAGTACCAAATTGTCTTGATTACTGTGGCTTTGTAGTAGAGCTTCAAGTTGGGAAGCGAGATCCCCCCTGCTTTATTCTTCCTTCTCAGGATTGCTTTGGCTATTTGGGGTCTTTTATGTTTCCATATGAATTTTAGAACTGTGTGTTCTAGTTCATTAAAGAATGCTGTTGGCATTTTGATAGGGATTGCATTAAATCTGTAGATTGCTTTAGGCAGGATGGCCATTTTGATGATATTAATTCTTCTAACCAAGAGCATGGGATGAGTTTCCATTTGTTAGTGTCCTCTTTAATTTCTCTTAAGAGTGTCTTGTAGTTTTCAGTTCCTTGGTTAGATTTATTCCTAGGTATTTTATTCTTTTTGATGCAATTGTGAATGGAATTGTTTTCCCAATTTCTCTTTCCATTAGTTCATTGTTAGAGTATAGGAAAGCCACAGATTTCTGTGTATTAATTTTGTATCCTGCATCTTTGCTGAATTCAGATATTAGTTCTAGTCATTTCGGAGTGGAGTCTTTAGGGTTTTTTATGTACAATATCATGTCATCTGCAAATAGTGACAGTTTGACTTCTTCTTTACCAATCTGGATTCTTTTTATTTCTTTGTTTTGTCTGATTGCCGTGGCTAGGACCTCCAGAACTATGCTGAATAAAAGTGGGGAGAGTGGGCATCCCTGTCTTGTTTCCAATCATAGAGGAAAAGTTTTCAGCTTCTCACTGTTAAATATGATGTCAGCTGTGGGTTTGTTGTATATGGCCTTTATTATGTTGAGGTACTTGCCCTCTTTACCTAGTTTGTTGAGAGTTTTTATCATGAATGGACGTTTAATTTTATTGAATGCTTTTTCAGCATCTATGGATGATCGTGTGTTTTCTGTCCTTCTTTTTGTTGATGTGGTGGATGGTGTTTATCGATTTTCAAATGTACCATCCTTGCATTCCTGAGATGAATCCCACTTGATCATGGTGTATGATCCTCTTGACGTATTTTTGAATTTGGTTTGCTAATGTTTTGTTGAGTATTATTGCATCTATGTTCATCAGGGATATTGGTCTGTAATTTTCTTATTTGGTGGGGTCTTTGCCTGGTTTTGGTATTAGAGTGATGCTGGCTTCATAGAATGAGTTTGGAAGTATTCCCTCCTGTTCCATTTTTTGGAAAACTTTAAGGGGAATGGGTATTATGTCTCCTCTAAATGTCTGTTAAAATTCAGCAGTGAATCCATCTGGCCCAGAGGTTTTGTTCTTGGGTAGTGTTTTGATTACAGATTCAATTTCA